AGCAGGGAGCCCGATGTGGGACTCGATCCCGGGACTCCAGGATCATGACCTGAGCCGAAGGCAGTCACTCAACCAACTGAGCCACCCAGGCACCCTTTTATTTGTGATTTTTCTTGATTCTTGAGGTAGGCTTGTTTTGCTATATACTTCCCTCTTAGAACTACTTTTGCTGCATCCCAAAGATTTTGAACCATTGTGTTTTCATTTTCACTTGTCTCCATGTATTTTTTTAATTTCTCTTTGATTTCTTGGTTGACCCATTCATTTCTTAGTAGCATGTTATTTAACCTCCATGTATTTGTGTTCTTTCCGGATTTTTTCTGGTGGTTGATTTCTAGTTTTACAGTGTTGTGGTTGGAAAAGATGCATGGTATGACTTCAGTCTTTTTGAATTTGTTGAGACTTGTTTTTTGGTCTAATATGTGATTGATTCTGGAGAATGTTCCATGTGCACTTGAAAAGAATGTGTATTCTGCTGTTTTAGGATGTTCTGAATATATCTGTTGGATCCATCTGGTCCAATGTGTCATTCAAAGCCACTCTTTCCTTCTTGATTTTGTTTGAATGATCTGTTCCTTGATGTAAGTGGGGTGTTAAAGTTCCCTACTATTATTGTATTACTGTCAATTACTTCCTTTATGTTTATTATTAGCTGCTTTGTGTATTTGGCTGCCCCCCCATGTTGGGTGCATAAATATTTATAATTGTTATATCATCTTGTTGGGTTGTTACATTTATGATTGCTATAGTCCTTGTTTTAAAGTCTATTTTATAAATATATTTTTTTAAGATTGTGTTTATTTCAGAGAGAGAGTGCAAGCAGGGGGGAAGGGGCAGAGGGAGAGGGACAAGCAGGCTCCCCGCTGAGCAGGGAGCCCGATGCGGGGCTCTATCCCAGGACCCCGGGATCACGACCCGAGCCGAAGGCAGATACTTAACCAACTGAGCCACCCAGGTGCCCCTAAAGTCTATTTTATCTGATAGTATTGAGTTGAGTCAGACCAGGCATTTGCCAGAGATGCAGTAGCACCAAACTGTGGGCTGCTTTTCCTGTGTTGTCCCCTGAAAAACTTTCATTGGTGGGCGGGGCCTGCAGTCAGACCAGTGGTTTGCCCCCAGCCCGACTAGTGTGTGTGGTTATCTTACCCTCTGCCCAGGGCAGGAGTTACTTTGGAGGGTCCTAGTCCCTGTTGGGACTGCTTGCCCCATGCCAGGCTTGTGGCTCCTCTATGAATAGGCTCCGGCGGAGGGCATATTGGAGGGGTAAGGTCCGCAGGAGAATGCAGGGGCCGAGTGAACGGTGTTAGCCAGCTTTGCACAGGTGTGCTTTGGGAGGGGACCTGGAGTGGAGGCCTGGCTGGAGGGGGCGTGTCCCAAGGGGCATATGGGGGCGGGGCGTACTGTTAGCAATTAGGTAGTGAGTGTTGGCACAGCGCTGGTTCCTGCAGGTGTCTGGGCTGGAGGCGAGGGGGGTGGGGGGAGGGGATGGCGCCCACCAGCTCTTTGGTTTCCAGAGGAGTCTCAATGATCCCTGCGCCTCCATCATGCACTCTCAGATTAGTGAACAAATCTGCCTCCCATGTGCCCCAGAGGTTTTCAAATTGCTGCTTCTGTGCTGTGTCTCTGCAGGGTTGTTTGTAGTGCTCTCTAAGGGTGGGGACTCTGTTTCCTCTCCCCTCCTGGCTCTCCCGAGCTGAGCCCACTGATTGTCAAAGTTACGGGTTTAAGCCCTGCAGATTGTAAGAACTCACGAAATTATGCCCCTCTGGTTTTCAAAGCCAAACATTTTGGGGATTTGTCTTCCCCGTGCGGGTTCCAGTGCCTGGGGTGCTTGTTGTGAGGGTCTGTTTCTCTCCTCTTTGGCACCCACAGTTCCCTCCCTCCCATGGACAGTCCCACAGGTCCCTTTAGCTCTCGACCACATCGCCACCCTTCCTACCCTCTTCTCTGCCTTTAGCTGTGAAGTCTGTTCTGCTAGACTTTGGGTCATTTTCTGGGTTATTTACACTGCTGTGTTACCTAGCTGTACCTGCCGGACAAGGTGTGCTTAGGGTCCTCCTACCCCACCATCTTCCCCAGAAATCTCAATCAACTTTAAAGTATGGAACAAAGGTCTTTCTAGAACTTAACATTACCCAAAGTGTTAGGTATTTAGGGGCGCCTCGGTGGCTCAGTCGTTAAGCATCTGCCTTCGGCTCAGGTCATGATCCAAGATCCTGGGATTGAGCTCCCCATCGGGCTCCCTGCTCAGCGGGAAGCCTGCTTCTCCCTCTCCCACTCCCCCTGCTTGTGTTCCCTCTCTCTCTGACAAAATAAAATCTTAAAAAACAAAACAAAACAAAAACCAAAGTGTTGGGTATTTAAATAAATGAGAACTACCTAAAAATGAAAAGGGGTCTATGACCCATATCCCGCTCAATTTCTTCCTGCCTCCGTAGTTTAGTTTTAACCCTAAAACTAAAGGGTTTGGGGGCACTCCTCAAGACCAGGACCTGATCCTGACCCCCTCACTTTTAGGAAATGAAAGGACAATCCACATGAGCCTCCACCAAATTTCCTCATGTGTCTTGCCATGATAGGATTCTGACCAAACTTAAGTTCCTCTTTCCCATTTCTGACTCCATACTTTTGTTCATGCTGTTCTCTACCAAGAAAGCCATTTCCCCATCCTCTGATTGCCCTTACTTCTCCCGTGAAGGCTACACTAGCTACTTTATAGTTTTAGGGGTAGAAGAAAAGATGGCCTGTGTTAAATATCTGGTGCCTGTGTTCAGATTACACAGATTTGAGGATTTTTTTTCTTTCTGTCTATACATATCTACAAATGACTCTTGAATATGAGAATATTTACTAAATACTAGAGGAGTATTTAAATATGAGGCATTTACTCGTGACCAACTGAGGATTTTTCACCTCTGCTGCCCACACTCCCTTTGACCAACATGAACCAGAAGTTTCTCACCGCCCACTAGATGGCACTGCTCACTTGTTCAGTGGTGACGCTTAAAGGCTACTGTTCCAACTGGGACAAAGTAGACAAATCTTGAAGACACTCTCCTTTTGTAAACCATGCCACTTGCCCCTGCAGAGGTCTCCAATTAGGCTACACTGGGACTATGACGAAATATAACAGTGATCACTTTTAGTCTTCACATCTATAGCCTATTGGTCTAAAATGACCCAATAATAGCTGCTATTATTAGAGTTTGTAAGCCCTTGGCTCTTCAAGTATTATAACCATCCTAAGGCTGACTGCCCCAAGCTAGTATTCACCTTCATCTTCTAAAACAACAAAACTTTAATCACGACTCCCCACAAATGAAAAGGGACACCACCGAAAATGGAGATGAGGCTTTCTACAGTTGAGGGTAGAGACAACTTTCGGCTTCAAACAACCCTCGGGAAGCAGAGTAGCTGAGGCCCAGGGATACCGTGTGTGCCTGCAGAGAAATGTGAATGACCAGGTCACTGAGCCCAAGTAGGGAAACTGGCCAACTCGGCCTCGCATGGCCCTGGAAAGACAGCACGGGACTGCTGGGCCGCTTCCCTCTTGGCTCTGCTCCGACGCTGGGAGAAAACTTCACCTAAGTCAGAACCTTCTGAGCCTCAATTTGTTTCAATATCAAGTCGGCTTTAAAAATTATGGCACACAAAATATATTAAAAGAAGCAGTACCTACAAAGTGTTAAAAGCAGAACATAATGGATTTAATATTTTGAATTGATTTAGAGACAAAGTATTTTTATTATCTCAATAACCTTGATAAAACATGAGGGACAGACAATGGCTCTGAAGGAACGATCTTGAAAATATCTTGTTTCCTCTTAATAATGGTTTCCAGGCAGGAGGCGCGACCTGCGGTCACCATGGCAGGATAGCTGTGACTTCCTACATACCACTTAGTTTCTGAACGAAATGTCTGTTGTCCTTCTGTGAAAAGCTGACAGTGAGAAACTTCCTGGCCTTTCTAACATGCAGCTGGTTATCTGTGGACGACAGCGAGAGGCCACCACCAAGTTAAGTTAGGACAAGAGCCCGCTAAGAATCCCGTACAAGCAGAACGCGTTGTCATTCCGTGGAAACAGGCTATTCCTAAATCCCACTCCGCACCTCAAGCTAAACGAAGACCCAGGAACACGGGGAAACCCGGCTGGCAGCGGGGCCATGTGCCGAGAGGCTGGGTCTTCCAATTAAATAAAACAAGGGTTTTTTATTTCATTATCTACTCTAGGGAAGACACCGCGAGACTGCTGCAAAGCTGCCAGTCATGCTGGTCAAGAGGCACATACGTTCTGTAACAGATTCAAGCACAAAATTCGACCAGATAAACCAGATACGAACTAGTGCGAGAGCTTCAGAACAACAGTAGAGCCGAAGTCCGTGAAACGCGCACTTGCTCTGGAGACGCTCAGAACGGGGTCCTGCCGAACAGGTCCAAGTGCCGACAGTGAGCGGAGGGCGAGGGGCCAGGGCACGCTGGCCGGGGGAGAGGGGATTGACTTAGAAAAGGTTCAGGTCAAAATACAGCAAAGCTCAGTTCTGGGAGAGAAATGGTGAGCTGCGTGAGTTTCTTTGGGGCACAAACTTTTATACTTTTTTTTAAGCAGGCTCCAGGCCCAGCCTGGAACCCGACGTGGGGCTTGAACTCACGACCCTGAGATCAAGACCTGAGCTGAGATCAAGGGTCAGAGGCTTAACCGACTGCGCCACCCAGGCGCCCCAGGGGCACAAGCTTTTAAAATCGGAAGTTTTGTGAGGAAGGTTAGGCAAGCAAAATATTCTGAATCTGGGATATTACAACACTGAGACGGACAAACTGACATAACTTTAACAGAATTGGAAGAAGTCTTTTAAGAAGCTAGTTTATTTTTGGTTTCACCCACAGCAAGATGAGACATGAAAAAACGTGGCCTCCGCAAGCTCACTTCCATCTCATCCTCCTTTTGCCAGTTTCGTCGCCAAACGTGTGAGCGCAGTCCTACCCCTCGGCCCCACTGTCTCTGAGGTCAGTCTCGGAGGCAGTGTGGGGTCCATCTGGCCCTCCCACAGTTCCACACAGTGAACAAAGTCTAGGCTTTAAACACACCCAGTGGCCTGTAGCCACGCGTTGCGCTCACGTTGTCCTCTTCCTCCCTCCCTTCCGGCTCCGGGATGGAACATCCGGGGACTCGGCGGAGCAGGGGGCG